ATAAATACAAGTCTTTCTTGATTTAAATAATTGTATGGACACGTAGAAGGAACCAAATATAAGGGACAAAGTGCTTATCAGTAATTGATACCATGAAGAAAAATAATTGAACTATTTCCTGTTCAAATACACGGAACTATTAAACTTCCAACTGAGAAAATGGTTCTATTTTCTAAAAAAGTCCTGAAGTTGCCTTAGGACCAACCATTTTGGGTTTGTAGGACATGTTTAAAATTCTCGCTTACTCCAGACTGAGCAAGTAAGAGCAAATTGAAACATGATCTATAACGGAAGAACAACATGACTAAATGATGACAATTGCTATACGCAGAAAGAAGAATTGAAGGGGATTTATGTTTACAAGAGCATGGAGTGCAAATTGAGCATATATTGTAGTACTCCGACTTCACCAACAATTTTATTTTGTACTCCTTCCCATCAGTGTTTAAAGATATTTATTTTTTTGGATCATAGTTAACGTTACATGCATTAAATCCTTTAAGCCAGTCTGGTGCTCCTGGATTAAGTGTAGTGGCAGCAAAGCTAAAATCTGCAGCAGTTTATAGACTGAAGTCTAATTGGATCTATAAGAATATTATGGGATGTAAAACAACGAAATTCCCAGACTCCAACAGTAGAAGTACAAGAGGGAACTCTTTATTGCTGGTATTGTTAACTCAATAGGTGACATTAGAAGCCTGCTGAATTTGAGTTGTAGCTGGTGTCATCAACACAGGCTATCACAGATAGAAAATCAAAAGCAAGTTAATTGATGGAATTTGCCATTGGCTGCCATTTTATTCTAGTTGTGGGTAGGCTGACTCTTCAGCTTGTCCACATCAGATAATAATATGTGCTTAATGGTGCTTGCTTATACAGAACTTCTCCCAACTTCAACAACAAATGGCATTCAAACATTTTGATAATGGGTTTATGACTGTTGAGCAATTATGTCTTACTAAGCTGACCAGACAGATTTTTTTCTGAACAGAAATAGCGCATAAACCTTCCGCTGGGTATGATTCAGTAATAAACAGTGTCATTGCACTACATCAAACAGCAGATGTTATAAGGTGCAAGTGTAAACTTGGTACATTTGTCTCCATATGCTCTGGATCCACAAACTGGTACAGTAGTGTCTCAATTATCATTGATTACTGAAGTCTAAGATGTATGCTGTAAGGCATTACCCATTGTAAAGCTGATATTCTGAGTCACAGTAAATGATCAAACTCTGAAATTCTCTAAAGGTAAATTGCTCAGACTGATTTCATGTAAATAATTTATATGAATTTGCTGTTTCTGGTAGCTGCAGCAAATTTTTTTTCTCCTTCAGAGTTTTGAGATATCCTTAAAGAAATGAAGTCCAGTTCCAATGGTCCTGACTGTAGCTAACCAAAGTGACTGTTCTTTGTGAATGAATTTAGAAGTGTCAATGTTAGAATGCTGATCAGGCCTTGGACTCATCACAGCTGGATCCAACAATACGTCTTTTACGCAGAGGTTTCTGCATAATGGTCAGGAATAGAATCACTGGTGGTTTGTCCATCCCAGCTCAGCTGATAAGCCAATGTTAAAAACCCCATTCTTAGCCAGGTGCAGTCAGGTAATGTCTATATGGCTCCACTGTGGAGAGTGCAAAGAACTAAGCTTTTGTTGATAAAGGCCATGGTTGCTAAGATAAATGAGTGCAAAAATTAAGGATGAAGTGTTGGTGATATAAGAATGTACCTTCCCTGCAATAATCAACCCCGAGAATGTGAGTGGGCATGTGGCCCAGCCAGATTAAGAGCCAGCCTCTTTGCTTAGCCAAAATCTGTAAAGATACAGCCAGACTGACAATTCTCAAACTCTGATCCTTATTTCCTTTAGGCGCCCTCTAATTAGTTTGTTGCCATATTGTTCAGGAACCTTGTCCCTAACCCACCCCCTCCAAAAAAGATCATAATGCACATAATACCCTATAAATGAACAGAATATTCATTTGCAAGGAATTTCTCATTTTGTGTCTTTATTTAAATAATAAGAAACCTTTTTAGAGATTTTGGCTACTAAACGTCCATTGTTTATTTGTTATTCCAAATTTTGCCAGTTTTCTTCCCCTTATGGATGTGTAACATTGTGCCAGTTGCAATCTTGATATATTGTTCAAGAGTTCCTCAGCATGTGTGAGCAGATAAATGACTCAATTAAATGTGATTTCTGGCTGACTTCAGTTTCCCCACAATACTGAGACCAATTCTACCACATCTCCCTCTCATTGACTGAGAATTAATGCACAAATACAAAAACAAAAGTTCTGATCTAAGTTCATAGGATCTAGTTAAACTCCCCATTTTGATTCAATTTAAAGCTGAATAGTCACTATTCAATATTCAATTATTTGCTCACCTTCGCAAACCTCTTCTTTTAAAAAAAAGCTAAACTTTCTACCACAAAAATAGATGGCAGTTTCAATGTTCTCAATTATTTCTTGGAGATTGGGCACTCAATGTGCTAGTCTAGCAATTAGTATTATTTTATGGAGCCTCTTGTGTGTAGAAGCCTGTGGAATAAAATAGGTTGGCTTCTTCTGGGCGTCTGTGCATAATTTTGTGGTTTGTCTCTAGTTTTATACTTCTGGTTTCCATTATCTTCTTACTGAATCCATGTTTGGTGAGAATTGTATCTATCAACTTTCAAAGGCTTGAACAATTTTCAAACAATAACTAAGTTCACGAGCAGTAGATCTTAGAAATATGATGATTGTAGGATTAACTGCATGGATTTCTTGTGCCATTTGTTTTCAGCTTCTTGTCTTCTGGTTGGCCATTTCTATAAATAATGATTCTGTTGAAAGAGAACCAACCAGTGTGGATTGACATAGTAAGCTGTCCTATATATCTGTACTTTCCTCTTTTTCTAGTGTATAAGAATTGTTCTGTTTGTAAATAGATATTCTGTACTTTCTTTTCCACTGCCAACTCTATTTTAGATGTATATTATTAACAACTGTACTGCTCAACAATATTGGACCAGAAATTCATCCCTTAATTTGCTTATCAAGTCTTCCCAAATCCTCATCACCTGTTGCAAAACATTTGACATTACTGATCCTAACCTAATTCTCCTGGACTAAATTAGCTCAGGAATTTATAATGATGAAATATATGAAGTAAAACCTTCCATATATTTTACTTTTTGGAAATCAGAAGCTGACTGATTGCTGCATATGAAGTATCCTTTCATCCCTGTTATTCTTCACTTGTTGGTGGGAAGCCATTCCATAGCCATCATTTGGTTAAAGTAGCCATTTGTTATTTCAAAGTCAGAATAGTGAGTGATGGTAGGACAGTTAGTGACAAAGCAGAAATCCCAGCTTTTAGAATAAAAATCAAAACTACTGGAATTAGTCTTAATTAGCAACATCCATGGAGTGAGAAACCAAGTTAGTGTTTCAAGCAGACGGCCTTTTCGTTGGAACTGAGAAAAGTTAGAGGTTTTAAGGGAGTACAGAGGCAAGGAAAGGGATGGAGATGAACAGAAACTCAGGGTCATGCTTTTGATTGAATGGAGGTGTTACACAAGATTGTCACCCACCCAGTCCCTTTGGTCTCCTCAGTGTAGAGGAAATTGTATAGTATGCTACATTCAGTATACTGAATAAAAGAAGGTATAATAAAATCACTGTTTCATCTGGAAGGAGAAGCAGTTTTTCTATTTCTGATTATAATACCCTGGATTATCCTGTGCTCCTGAATTCATAGGATGTTGCGCCCATTGTTGGCATCATAGGGCTCTGTTTGAGATCAATTTCATTTCTCATAAATAAGAAATCAAACCTGGTTTGACTTTAATTGGTTTGGCTCAGTTTCAGATCCCTGAGTTGATCAGGAGTGGGGTATGTTTAGTCAAATTGAATGATTAATGGTGTATCTTTTAGCCTAGTTGTTACTTCCAACTGGGCATGTTGCAGTCACACACTTAAATTTTGAAAATTGTACCAGTTGCTTAGATTTGAGCCAAATTCCAGAGTCTTTGCTCTAATTATTGCTAATGAATGTGCTCCTGTCTTTGCTTATGTTACCTTCTGACTTGCAGAATATGGGACGATATTCTTTGAAATGTTTTCTCAGGAATGTGTGATCAGTTAGGGCTTGGTCTTTCACAATCTGCTACCATCGCGAGACTCCAATGAATAGCAGCCTTGCCTCCTGATGCCATTCCTAATCTTGAGTCTAGAGTCCGATACCCAAGCTGGTATTTCAGCATTGTACTGACAGAACACTGCATTTTTGGAGAAACCATCTTTCAGATGTGACATTAAAACATCTGCTCTTCAGGGTGGGTGTGAATGATCCCATGATATGATTTCAAAGAGCAGGAGAGTTCTCCCTAGTGTCCTGGACAATTTTTATTCCTTAATCTTCATCAGCTAAAACAAATCATGCAGCCATTTGGTCTTTTATTATTAGTGACTTCTTGCTATGACTAAATTGGCTGCCATGCACCTTCAGAAAATATGGGCACCCCGTCAGCAGTGACTGTGTTGGCCATGGAGTGTGTTGTGGAAAACACAAGACTTCCAAGTCATTTAAATCCAGCCCAGACTGTTGGGATAAAATCCTCCTAATCTGATTTATGGAAGAGTCTTTGGACAGTTTTGTTATCCAGCAGCAAGTGTGCTTGAGTCTAACACTACACAGTTGATGACTGGCAATCTCACTTGAAAGACTTGAGTAATAGTTCTTGTGTCACTTAAACAAATGTTGCCTGGGCACTTTAATGTTTGAGACAGTGATAGTTGGGGCAAAAGTTCAGTCTAGTAAACGGTGACCCGACAATGGGCACAAGGTGTTTTTACTTTGAGAAATTCTACTTTTTTTAAAACTTGGGATTGAGACAGAGAAGGAGGAGGTGTACATAGGCGGGGTGGAGAGAGAGAGAGAGAGCTATGTGTGGGAAGATGGATAAATCCTGGGGCAGAAGAGTTTTATTACTTTGCTCTGGTTTGCCAACAGTGTCTGAAACAATATGTGGAACTTTTAATTAAAGAGGGCCTGGAATCCTCAATTAGCTGTCCCGATGCTGCCTGCCCAAAGAGAGGTCACCTACAGGAAAATGAGGTAAAGGATGGACCTTTGTAGTCATTAAATTACATCATAAAGGCAATTACTGTTTCCGATTTACTCTCTGCATGTATTTGTGCACTCAACATCTGTAGCTTGTCCATTTTCTTCGTATAATAATCGAGTGGTTTTTATCGTCTTAAATGTATTTGATTTAAATATGACCTGGAAGTAAAACTAAAACAAAGGATATTTAGAATCATGCTTATTTGTCCATTATTTCATTGATGATGAGGCTTGAAATATGATTTTTTTTTTGCATTTAACAGTACTTCACTCTTCTTTCCAATAGATTGAATGTGTTGTTGCAGCAGAACTTATGCAGAGATATAAAAGATTGCAGTTTGAAAAAGGCAAGTGAATTATGTTATACAGATGTGTGAACTAGAAGCAGAAATAGGCCATTGGCCCTTTGAGCATGCTGCATTGATCATTGCTGATCTGTTGCTATTTCGAATTCAATCCCTGACTACCCCCGCAATAATCTTTGATTCTCTTATTTGACATGAATCTATACACTTGCACATTAAAAATATTTAATGACTGCATCTGCACTGCCTTCTGAAGCAGTCTTCCAAAATTACATGACATTCTGAGAGAAAAATTCGCTTGACGCAAAACGGCAATCCTTAATTTTTGAACAGTGGCTGCTAGGTTTGAGTCAGAGTTTTACAACACAGAACCAGGCTTTTTGGCCCGTTGTATCTGTGCTGGTCTTCAACCATCTATCTATTCTGATCCCATTTTGCAGCATTTGGTCCATATCCTTGCTCGTCTCAATACTTCGTAAGTATTGTGAGGGTTCCCACGTCAGCCACCCTTTTAGACAGTGAGTTCTAAATACCGACCACCACCGTTTGGGTGAAAAATAATTTCCTAAACTCTCCTCTAAACCTCCTGTTGCTTACCTTAAAACTATGCTGTTAGTTATTTACCCCTCGACAAAGAGGAAAGGTTTGTCCCTGTATACGCTATCTACGCCCCTCAACGCTTTGAACACTTCAAAGCAGGTTCTCGCGCCCCCACCACCCCCCGCCCAAGCCTTCTCTGCTGTAAAGAAAACAGGCCCAGCCTATCTAGTCTCTCTTCATAACTGAATCACTCCAATCCAGCCAACATCCTAGTTAATCTCCTCTGTACCATTTTTAGTGTAATAATATCCTTGTAATGATCCTGTTATAATAAAGTACAGCATTGCATTAGTCTTAATTACTTGCTGTAACTGCATACTAATTTCTTGTGACTTGGACTAGTATATCTAAAACCCCCTGCACCTTGGAATTCTGCAGTCATTCTCTGTTTAAGTAATACTCTGTTTTTTAATGTTGCCTGGCAAAATGAACTACTTCACATTGGCCTGCATTACACTGCTCCATCTACCAGATTTTTGCCTACTCCCTTAACTACCTACATCCATTTGCATCCTCATCCTCTTCACAGCATGCTTTCTTGTTTATCTTTGTGGCATCTGTAAATTTACTTCACTCATCTTGGTCTTTGATATAAATGGTAAAAAGTTGAAGCCCCAGCGTAGACCTCTGCGGGAAACCACTTGTCATATCCTGCCAATCAGAAAAAGACGCATTTATCTAAACTTGTTTTCTGCCAGCCAGTCAATCTTCTATCCATACAAGTATGTTACCCCTGACAGTATGTGTGTGATCCTGTTTTTTGCAATGACCCTTCATATGGCACTTAGTAAGTACAGTTGTTTGTTTGCTTGGATTGAACGTCTTATTGTTTAGTCCTAATACAAGATTGCAGTACAGTTTGAAGGTGGGTACATCAGCTTATTAGAAGATGTCTGTCATGGGGCATGTTTTGGGTTTCTAACTCATTTACAAAGCTATTCATTTTTCAGAAGTGCTTTTGGATCCATGCCGAACCTGGTGCCCATCCTCCACTTGCCAGTCTGTCTGCCAACTGAAGGAGGAATTACAGAAGCCCCAGCTGGTACAGTGTGCAGCCTGTAACTTGGAGTTTTGCTCCCTTTGCAAAGCGAACTGGCACCCAGGGCAGGCTTGCCAAGAAAACCTGCCTGTTAGCTCATTTCTTCCTGGTGAATCAAGGTACTGTTTTTGCTTAATGGCAACAGGTCCTACTTTTGCTCTTAAGGCTGTTACATTAAGGAGGAGTGATGCCACACTCCTGTTTTTTTTAAAGATGTTCCTCAAAACTACAATGGATTATTCCTGGTACCACTCTGAACTTTGTAAGAGTAACTGGAAACAAGGCTGCCATTAATTGATGGTCTTCCAACCAGGCTTATTATTTGGTAAGTGCAGTGGAACTGTTAGTCAACATCGGGATTAAAAGCAGAAAACGCTAAAATTTTCAGCAGAACTGACAATGTTGGTGGAGCGAGAGAGAGAGGGAGGGAGAGAGAGAGAGAGATCAAGTTAATGTTTCTGGTCAGTGATCCCTCATTAGAGATGTAGTAAGTTACAAAGGCACGACAGCCCAAATGCCTCTTTCTGAGTGCAGCAATTGTGGAAACAGCAGCATTATACGTTCTGCACTTTACTTTCTGCTGTTGAATGTTAAGTGTTCCCACAAGTTCAAACTCTCAAGATTAAACAGGAACACTAGCAGCCTGCACTGAAATGAGGGTTGCACTGCTTGAGTAAAGAAAGAAGACTTGTATATCTCCAGTACTGTATCACAGTTTCTGCATGACTCAAATTGCTATACAAACAATAAATTACATCCATGAATGCCGCACTGATAGCAGATGGACTACTAATCGAGAAATGCAGGCTAGGCTTCTGGAGACATGAGTTCTAATCCTACGTTTGCAAGTGGTGAAATTTGAATTCCATAAAACCTGGAATTATAAACTAGTCTGACAGCAACTATATAACCATTGTCAATTATTCTAAATACTCATCTGGCTCACTAATATCCTTCAGGAAAGGAAATCTGTCCTTACCTGATCTGGCCTGTAAGTGATTGAATCTTATTTGACTCTCTAGGCCATTGCAGAGGACGGTCAGCTCAAGGTTAACCACAGATCGGCAACAAATGCCAGCCTTGCCAGCAACACGCTAATTTGTCGCATGCAATTTTTTTAAAAAATGAATAAATGACCAGATAAACAATTAAACAGAAACAGAAATTGCTAGAAAATTGCAGTAGGCCTGGCAGCATCTGTGGGAAGAAACAAGGATTAATGATTAGAGTCAGGTGACTCTTCGTTAGCAGCTAGCGGAGTGGGGAGAGGGGCGAGGAAGGGAGGAGAGAGAGAGAGAGAATTGAGAGGATAGGTGGAGATAGAGTCCAGAGATATATGAAAGGAATAGGTAAACCAGGAAATTTTGGAGGCCAGGACAGAAGAAAAACTGAACAAGTGATAATTTAGAGCTAAGAGTAGGAGAAAATGGGTGAGCTGTACAGAATGCAACCCATCTAATGAAATAATGGGTGTAGGATTATGTGAGAATGGGTGACTATGCTAGAAGCGAGCCATGTCATAACAGGACTGGGTGTGGGCTGGGTAAAAACCGTGGAAGAATGGAATCAGACTCTGAAGTTATTGAATTCAATGTAGAATTCTAGAGTCCTAAATAGTTAATAATGGTATTGGTTAAGGAAGAAGTAATGTTGGCCAGAATACTTCAGACAGCGTAGTGAGACCTCTTTGCAACTACTTCAGCAAATAGATGGTCACGTGAAAAAGTAATGGTAAGACTTTTAACTCCTCACTTTGAAAAAAACTGAGCAAACAGACATTCTAATTTTAAAAGAGACAGTAAGAACTGCCAATGCTGAGTCAGAGATAACACAGTGTGGAGCTGGAGGAGCACAGCAGGCCAGGCAGCATCAGAGGCGCAGAAAAGCTGACGTTTTGGGTCGGGATCCTTCTTCAGAAAAAGGGACTGAAGAAGGGTCCCGACCCGAAATGTCAGCTTTCCTGCTGCTCTGATGCTGTTGTGTTATCGCTTATTTCCAATTTTAAAATCACTTATTTTTCAAACAAATAAGGCACCTGCTGTAGTCAGAATAATTAGAGGTATGTGTCAATATTTTGAACACTTAGATTAGTTGGGTTTTACCTCCCCAAAATATGCAAGATGCCTTCGAAATTAAACATACAATGTTTTATGGGTTTTTGATGGATGGCTCTTGGAACGCAGGTGGTAAACAAAGATCATTACTTCAATAGAAACCTGGTGTGGCTTTTGAGTAATGGTGTGTGTGGTACGTTCCTTTGCACTGTTTCTTAAGATATTGGGACCAGATTTCTTTTCAAAATAGTTGTTTTGTTTCCCACCCAGCTCATTCTTTGAAAATGATGAGGAGGACGATGTTCCAATCAAACGTTGTCCAAAGTGCAAAGTCTACATTGAAAGAGATGAAGGATGTGCACAGATGATGTGTAAAAACTGCAAGCATGCCTTTTGCTGGTACTGCCTGGAATCGCTTGATGTAAGTGAAATAAGCATTTGTTCTAAAGCAAAAACAAGGAAATAAATGGATGTTCACATTGGAGCATTTCAGATCATATTTACATCTAAGATGTTTCCAAAGGGAGATCATCACCATTTAAAATGCATTCATATGATAGAACTGCAGTCGTTTTAAGTGCAATGATGGCACAGTAAACAATGTAATTAGCAAAATCAACCCCGTCAACAATAATATACATTAATATAGTATCCTCAACTGGGAAAATATCCCCATGACCCTTGAGTCACTCCACTAATTACAGCCTGCCAACTTGAAACTGCCACATTTATCTACACTTCCTGGCTTATGTCTATTAATCAATCTTCCAATTTGTTAATGCATGACGAGTAGCACACTGGGCCCTTATCTTGCATATTGGCCTTGTATATGGCATTCTATTAAATGTCTTTTGGAAATCCAAGTCTACTGCATCGACTGGCTCCTGTGTATTGACCCAATTAGCTATATCCTCAAAGAACTTGAATAAATGCGTCAAACACAATCTCCCTTTTGTAAAACCGTATTGATTTTGTCTGATTATGCAATGATTTTCTAAGTGCATTGTTGAAACTTCGTTAATAATGAATTCCAGCATTTTCTTTGACCGATGCCAGGATAATTGGTCTATTGTTCCATTTCTTTTCCTCTCTCACTCAGAAGTAGAGATATTTCCTTTGCTAGCTTTCAATCTGCTCAGACAGTTTTAAAATCTAGGGAGTTTTGAAAACTCATGAATCCACTGTTTCAGTAGCTATCTCTTTTAGAATCCTAGGATGTGATCAGTTACATCCTCGGGATTTTTTGTTCTTTTAGTTCCTTAATTTTCTCCAATATTTTATCACAGTTGGTACTAATTGCATGAAGTTCCTCCCTGTTATAAACCCCTTGGTTGCACTCCATTTCTGGTGCATTTTCTAATGTGAAGATGACTGAAGGCTGTCAGGACGAGGCCAAGATGAAGTGTTTTCTCAGTACTTCTGGCTGAAGATACTTTGACTTCATCTTTTGAGCTAGACTTCACTGTCATTTGAGAATGGGGATATCTGTCGAGTCTCCTTCTCCAGTGAGTTGTTTAATTGTCCATTCATGATTAGATGTCGTAGAACTATCAGATTGGTGTAAGATCACGTACCTCTATTCCATGATGCTTAAGATGTGAGTAGTCCTGTGTGGTAGCTTCAACAGAATTGACCCTTTTATTTTTCAATATGCCCGGTGCTACTGACTTTCTATATACTTGTAGAAGATCTTACCTTCAATTTTATGTGACTGACTAGTTTCTCTCAATTGTTTCTTTTTCCTTCCCTTTTCATCAACTTTTTGGTCAGTTCGCTGGTTTCTAAAATTTTGCCAATTTCCATTTCCTTGACAGACCATGGAGCTGATCAGCTGGTTGGCTGCATATTTGTGACAATGCTACATAGGCTAGTGGACATCAGCACTGAGGTGTCAAATCCTGTTGTTGTTTAAAAGCAGGATGCAGTGCCTTGTGTATGATGACAGAATTAGTTTGGGAAAATTGATTAAAAGTTAACTTTTTACCAAGTTCTGAGATCATAAATGGTATCCTGTTCATTTGCCACTGCAACGTTTCCAAAGTATGCATTTCAAATTGATGTCAGCTTGAGTTAAAACCATCTACAAAGGCATCTGTACAAACTTTTTGGAGCTGTCACATGATCTACTTCTCCCTGCTCCCAGCTCCCTAATCAGCTAAAATCACTTTTTTTTTCTCTTTTTTCTTAAATTCACTTTATTATTTCCAATAAAGAAAGACGTTGCTGTGTCTTTTTATGGTTTTCTGAAAGATAGTTCTGAAATAAGTACTGTCTAAATAATTGTACTTTTACCTCTTCTCCTTATGGCCATAGAACTAGCTCACAGTAAATGCAATGGCCCAACATGTGATCTTGACTCATTCATTCTGCACAGTACTTCCTCTATTTAGATACCTGTAAATTGAAGCTGTCATTGGCACTTATAACAGTTGTAGGTACCTTGTAGGAAACACATTGACCCCTGTAATGCAGTAATGTACCATCAATGGTCACCAAATTATTTACAGTTGGCAAATAAAAAACAACACTCTGGAATCATTCAAGAGACCGTTAGACTCTTGCTTGCATGCTGAGTGAGCTAAAAAAGGTCAAAGGGCAACTCAACTTTCTGAGCAACAGCCTTTCTATATTTAGTACTGTTCTTCAGTCCATTGCAGAGTTTGAAATCAGAAAATGTAAAAAGAAAATTTGCAGACTATTAATAAGCTGTGCGAAGCTACATGACCTTACACAGACCACATGAATATACCAAAGTAACTACACAATGTCATGTACTTCAACGAACTCTGTTGACGCAAATGTTTTAAATGCAGTTCAAAATTCACTGCATCACGATGCAGTGGAATTTTTCCCATGATTTCATGTGTTGCTGCTTTGATTGTTGAAAGGTTTAAGTTTAGGATTTGCTCTGCCCAATGCATTTTGCTCATTGATCCAGTCATTAATTTAAATGATCCACGGTCAGAGTTACACAAATAGTTAATGTGTGAAATGCAAACATTAGTTCATTCACATAGGAGGAGTCATGAGCGTTGCACATTTTTCACTGGGACTGGAAGTTATCTGTGCTGCTATTTAAAATCCACATGTAGCCATTATAAATAGCTTGCTTTCCAGACAGTGAGGTAATTGTGCATAGAATATTCTAAAAGCAGTTTCTAAATTTGTTTATTAGTTACATGCTGCCATCCACCAAAGGAAGATAATGAAATTATATCCAGCCTGCAGTTATCTTAATGGTATTACCAGGACAGCAAGTATCACTCAGCAATGACCTTATTATTTGTGAAATACAGTTTTTATGATCATCTTAAAATAAGCATTCTGCCGTTTGTGCTTTGAATGTAGAATCAATGTGCAAGGGGAACAGGCAAGAAATTGGCACTAAGTCAAATTCTCTGATGGCCTCTTCTATACTGTAACAATTCTGTAATTCTTTGATTGTTTGTTCTTGTGTTCTATTCAACATGTAGGAGAATAGATCATTTATTTTGATGGCATTGCTTTTTATTAAGTGTTTTGCTGAGATTAGCCTGGAATTGAGGCCAATTACTGGTATTCGAGGTGTGAGATTTGGAAATAGATGCTGAAATTATGACAAATTTCAGATTTCTAACACTATATAAATTAGCAACAAACCCAAAAAAGGACTTAAGTTTAACACCACTCCACCACCAAACAAATCTATTCACAGTTGAGGTTACAGATATTAGAAAGTTAAACTGTATCATCTATTCTATTCCACTTTAGTTGCACACCATAACTATGTATTAACAGTCAGATCTTCAAAAGCATCTCTGTTGATATTTTAGTAGCAGTTGCTTTTCACATAGTTATGACATATGACAAATGTTGTCCTGTGAAACGTGTTAGGATGTTCTGCTAAATTAAGGGCACAATATACCACCCAGTTGAGTCTCACCAGTTGGTGTTGGGTCATATGACATTGATAAACTCTGTCCTATTTCATTATCCAGTCACGGTATAATGCAATAAATGCACTGCAGTACCAGTGCATAAACCCAACAAGTACAAACTCGTAGATGGTTAAAGTTCCGATCAATAATTTTTATATACTTTTCAAACAATGGTGAATCATTCATAAGCAACCCTTGTTCGGGCATGGTGATGTTCACTGTGTTTTAAGAGCTGACCTACATGATTAAACATTTTTCCAGGTTGTAAGAAGTGTCAAGTGTTAGTGATCTGGCAAATCTTTATAGCTGTTTTGTTTGGATTCTAAAGTCCTCCATATGTTTCTTTTCCTTCCCCCTTCATCACTTTCTGCAGTTAGAACTTAGCAGTGCACTTTATTGATCAAGCCTCCAGAAATATGATTATTTCAATCCTTTTCCTCATTGCCATTCCAACATTTGCTACTTTATATTTTTATTCCTTTTATAGAGGAGTATTTTTGGTCAAATTGTAATTTTCACAAGATGTTAGCATAGTAGAAGGAGCAAACAAAAGGCCAATTTCATTAATTTTGAATCACTGTCTCTGGGTAAAAGTCTTGATTGAATAATTTTCATCTTTTGTGCATTTCAGTAGGTCTTTCAATTAATGCATGAGTCATTATTGTCAATCTCATAACAGTTTTAAGTAAATCACTGAACCCAATAGTGCAGTTTATATTATGCAGCAGTATCCTAAAGCTGAATGTGATGAGGTGCAGTTTCTCCTTTTGAAAGCAATTTGAGAAAATTAACTCAAAATGTGCTCAAAATTGATTTGAGCAATGTACAGTTCAAATTTCTAATAAAAATTAATTTACTAAAAGTAAAATCTTCAATAATCCAGTATAATTTTTGCAGCATAATAAAATATATTATTTAATTTTCCTTTCTTTCCATTGAACAGTATTTCTTAAACATATGTGAGAATGGTAATTTGCTGAAGTTTTATTAATAAGGCTGAAAACACGTTATCAGCAGAACTAATTATTTTCATAAGAATGTCCAATATCCCAGCTAAAAATAACCTGATTTAAAATTACTGAATTATTTTTTAAAAGAAAGAACTATAAAACCAGTTGCTAGTTTTGTTGGTGTACACTACTCTTTTTCTTTGTAATTTTTTTAATGTATTAAACATTTTTAAAACATGCCAATATGCACCTGTGCAAGATGAGTGCAGTTTAAAGACCAAGGGTGTTTGGATGAGATTCACGTTCACAGTGGGGTTGTGATCAGTTTTGTAAATGCAGGTGGTTTGAAGCTTAAGTTTCATACATTAAGAATTCCTTGACATCTTACAATGGTTCGTTGAATTTGCTTGTATTATGCTGATACCACAAGCAGACCTCTATCACAATGGCCACACAGGCCACATCTTCCAGCAATTGGACAGCAGTCAAGAGAGTGAGAGTCGGTCCTAGTTTTCTTCTGTTCCTACCTCCAAGAGGGTAGAGCAAGGTTGGGGGTGGTGCAGTTACTAATGTGTGTCTTGAAAACATAGAAAATAGATGCAGGAGTAGGCCATTTGGCCCTTCGACCCTGCACCACCATTCGATATGATCATGGCTGATCATGCAATCTCAGTATCCCCACTCCCACTTTCTCCCCCATACCCCTTGATCCCTTTAGCTGCAAGAGTCATGTCTAGTTCCTTCTTGAATATATCTAATGAACTGGCCCCAACAGCTTTCTGTGCTACAGAATTCTACAGGCTCACAACTCTCTGTGTGAAGAAATTCTTCCTCATCCCAGCCCTGAATGGCTTACCCCTTATTCTTAGCCTGTGATCCCTAGTTCTGGACACCCCGATATTGGGAACATTCTTCCCACATCTACCCTGTCCCGTCCCATCAGGATTTTATATGTTTCTATGAGATCCCCTCTCATTCTTCTAGATTCCAGCGAGTACAAGCCCAGTCGATCCAGTCTTTTTTCATTTGTCAGTTCTGCCATCCTGGGAAAGATTGGTGAATTGAAGTACAAACCAGGGATTTAACAACAGGGCTTCCTGGTTTGCATGGCTTATAACTACATCTCCAATATATTTATCCACTGAACAGTTAAGGGGACTCTACTTTAGAACATAAGAACTAGGAGCAGGAGTAGGCCATCCAGCCCCTCGAGCCTGCCCCGCCATTTAGTAAGATCATAGCTGATCTTTGTGAGACTCAGCTCCACTTGCCGGCCCACTCACCATAACTCTTAATTCCTTTACTGTTCAAAAATTTATCTAACCTTGCCTTAAACACATTCAGCGAGGTAGCTTCAACCGCTTCACTGGGCAGGGAATTTCACAGATTCACAACCCTTTGGGTGAAGAAGTTCCTCCTGACCTCAGTCCTACATCTGCTTCCCTTTATTTTGAGGCTATGCCCCCTAGTCCTAGTTTCACCTGCTAGCGGAAACAACCTCCCTGCCTCCACCTTATCTATTCCCTTCATAATCTTATATGTTTCTATAAGATCTCCCCTCATTCTTCTGAATTCCAATGAGTATAATCCCAGCCTACTCAGTGTCTCCTTATAATCCAACCCTCTCAACCGAGTGAATCTCCTCTGCACCCCCTCCAGTGCTAGTATATCTCTTCTCAAGTAAGGAGACCAAAACTGCACACAGTGCTCCAGGTGTGGCCTCACCAGGACCCTATACAGCTGCAGCATAGCCTCCCTGTTTTTAAACTCCATCCCTCTAGCAATGACAGACAAAATTCCATTTGCGTTTTTAATCAAGATGCATTTAGCAGACACTTGTCTAAGGCTTTTTGGGCTACTGGCTTATCAGTGAATCAACTGTGATATGCTTGAGTGACATACTGCACAAATAAAGCTTCCACAGAGGATCCACTTTGCAGCAAAGAGATGTCGCCTTTATATTTTTGACAATCTACAGTTGGCTCTTAGGGAACCTTTTTCCCATTACTTGTCCCTAGTGAGTGGTTGTTATGCTTTAGCAAATTCTCAGCAGCAAATGGGGAAAAAAAGAAGCAGCCGGTAAATGTGATTATTTAAAATAAAATCATCGAGGGAACAGTCACATGAGACTTGTTTTTGTAAATAAAAAAAAATCTATTGTATTTATCCACTGAGATTAAACTTTCCGTTTCCTTTCTTGGATGGGATAATTTTTCCTATTTAAATTTTTGAGGAATTAATTTGGAGAATGAAAACCTGTCTTTTCAATGATCCTTTTAAAAAGAAGGTTAAGTGGATTTTGACTGGATTACAATGTTAATATCTTGAAATTATTCCTTTTAAAACAGGATGACTTTCTATTAATTCATTACGACAAAGGACCTTGCCGCAACAAACTTGGTCACACTCGCGCCTCTGTCATTTGGCACAGAACCCAGGTGAGTAGAAAAAGTTTTGTCTCCATCACAGTACACAAGGTAGATTTCCTCATTATCTAGTGGTGTCAATGATCATGCCAATCCTGATCAAAGTGGGAGCAGCTTTTAACTGCATGAAAAGTTTCTGTTGATTCTGTACAGGTTTCAGTATCTGACTCACTTCTGATATCTTTGTACAATCTCAATAAATGGTTGGTATGTTTAGTTTGCAAGTTTGGGCTCAAAACAGAGTCATAGAGTTGTACAGCACGGAAACAGACCCTTCGGTCCAACTCGCCCATGCAGACCAGACATCCTAAGTTAATCTAGTCCCATTTGTCAGCATTTGGCCCACATCCCTCTAAACCTATCCTATTCCTTAACCCATCTAGATGCTTTTTAAATGTTGTAATTCTACCAGTCTCCACCATTTCATCTGGCAGCTCGCTCCATACACACACCATAATCTGTGTGCAAAAGCTCCCCCTTTGTCTCTTTCACATCCTTCCCGTCTTACCTTAAACCAATGTCCTCTAGTGTCTTGGACTCCTATACTGGGGAAAAGACCCTGGCTATTCACTCTCTCCATGCCGCTCATGATTTTATAAACTTCTATAAGGTCACCTGTCAGCCTCTGCCGTTCCTCTGCCTAGGGGCTGGGACTATTTAGAGCGGCACGGTGGCTCAGTGGTTAGCACTGCTGCCTCATAGCGACAGGGACCTGGGTTCGATTCCAGCCTCGCGTGACTGTGTGGAGTTTGCACATTCTCCCCATGTGTGCGTGGGTTTCCTCCGGGTGCTCCGGTTTCCTCCCACAGTCCAAAGATGTGCAGGCTAGGTGGATTGGCCATACTAAATTGCCCATAGTGCCCAGGGATGTTCAGGTTAGGTGGATTAAATATGGGAAATGTCGGGTTAGGGGAATGGGTCTGGATGGGATGCTCTTTGCAGGGGGGTGGTGTGAACGTGTTGGGCTGAATAGCCTGTTTCCGCACTATAAGGATTCTATGATCTATTCAGTCTTTCCTTATAGCTCCAACCCTGGTACCAACCTTCTAAATCTTTTCTGACCACTTTCCAGTTTCACATTTCACCAGCATTGAAGCTCATCAGCTTATTGTTGCCTTTTTCTGCCAGTACCATTTGCAAGAACCACTGGAAAAAAATAACTCGAAGAACTGTACGTGTAATGGACAACAATTTCACCATAAATTACTGTCCTCCTATTTCCCTCTCCTTCCCAAAGAAATCAAAATCCAGGTAATATAGGAGAATGGTAAAATGACTGTAATCAGATAGAAATACTCAACATTTCATTAGAGACAACAAGGTGCAGAGCTGGATGAACACAGCAGGCCAAGCAGCATCATAGGAGCAGGAAGGCTGACGTTTCGGGCCTAGACCCTTCATCAGAAAAGGGGGAGGGGAAGGGGGTTCTGAAATAAATAGGGAGAGAGGGGGAGGCGGATAGAAGATGGATAGAGGAGAAGATAGGTGGAGAGGAAACAGACAGGTCGAAGAGGCGGGGATGGAGCCAGTAAAGGTGAGTGTAGGTGGGGAGTTAGGGAGGGGATAGGTCAGTCCAGGGAGGACGGACAGGTCAAGGGGGCGGGATGAGGTTAGTAGGTAGGAGATGGGGGTGCAGCTTGAGATGGGAGGAGGGGTAGGTGGGAGGAAGAACAGGTTAGGGAGGCGGGGACGAGCTGGGCTGGTTTTGGGATGCGGTAGGGGGAGGGGAGATTTTGAAGCTTGTGAAATCCACATTGATACCATTGGGCTGCAGGGTTCCCAAGCGGAATATGAGTTGCTGTTCCTGCAACTTTTGGGTGGCATCGTTGTGGCACTGCAGGAGGCCCAGGATGGACATGTCATCTGAGGAATTGGAGGGGGAGTTGAAATGGTTCGCGACTGGGAGGTGCAGTTGTTTATTGCGAACCGAGCGCAGGTGTTCTGCAAAGCTGTCCCCAAGCCTCCACTTGGTTTCCCCGATGTAGAGGAGGCCACAACGGGTACAGCGGATGCTGTATACCACATTGGCAAATGTGCAGGTGAACATCTGCTTGATGTGGAAAGTCTTCTTGGGGCCTGGGATGGGGTTGAGGGAGGAGATATGGGGGCAGGTGTAGCATTTCCTGCGGTTGCAGGGAAAAGTGCCGCGTGTGGTGGGGCTGGAGGGGAGTGTGGAGCAGACAAGGGAGTCATGGAGAGAGTGGTCCCTCCGGAAAGCAGATAAGGGTGGGGAGGGAAAGATGTCTTTGGTGGTGGGGTCGGATTGCAGATGGCGGAAGTGTCGGAGGATGATGCGTTGGATCCGGAGGTTGGTGGGGTGGTATGTGAGGACGAGGGGGATTCTCTTTTGGTTGTTATTGCGGGGACAGGGTGTGAGGGATGAGTTGCGGGAAATGTGGGAGACACGGTTGAGGGCGTTCTCGACCACTGAGAGGGGGAAGTTGCGGTCCTTGAAAACGAGGACATCTGAGATGTACGGGAGTGGAATGCCTCATCCTGGGAGCAGATGCGGTGGAGGCGAAGGAATTGGGAATAGGGGATGGGCAGAGACGAGGGAATTGGGAATAGGCTTCTCTTTCCCTAGAAATTTTTTTTTATTTTGAGTCCTGTGACCGAGCTACAGACCTTACCAGCAAGATACAGAAACACTGATATAGACACAATACATATTATTTCTCATCGTACAGTTTTAATGAGAGAAAACAATAGCTGTGTACATTGTTTGGGTACTGTTGTTTTCCTCAATATCTCTACCTTCTGATTGGTGTATATAAGCTGGAAGCATATTACTTTTGTAGGGTTAAATGTAGAACAGCGCACAAATACTCATCCTATTGGACAACAGCTACAGAGGAGAGAACAAAAGGATGAATTCCATAGTTGCAAACTATGAAAACTTCCTATGAGATAGGAGGCTTTATTCTTAAATTCAATTTTCCACAATATTTTGGGAGGATGCTGGACAAAGGAATTCTGTACAATGAAAATAAATGTTCCTCCACATTTCTCTAACCTTAGATGTTATTGGGCATTAAAACTGTTGCATTAAGGTCATGCATGGCTTCTTGAAAAGAATACTAATGTACAAACAGTTTGGCTCATTCTGAGGAAATATGTCATTTTTAAGTTTCATTCTCTATAATCAATTAGATGATAAATCTGTAAATTCACAACTATATGATTAGTAAACAACGATGCCTCTGTACCAAGCATATCAGATGATATTAAGTTCAATGTCTGTTCTTTGTGGCTAATTGAATCCAAATAGGGATTTGGCTCTGTTTTAGTGCTTTCTACTCACTGTTACTACTGTTCTGTTAATTAGGCTTGAAAATGTAATGCTGCAGTAAATCACAGAATTGTTACAGTGCAGAAGGAGACTGTTGAGCCCATTATGTCTGCACCAAATAACCATGAGCACCTTAACATGGTGCCATGCTCCCACCGTTTTCCCATAATCCCATACCCTATTTATATTTAAATAATCATCAAATGCCATCCTCAATATCGCAATTGAACCTGCCTCCACCACACTTCCTACACTGCATTCCATACCCAAACCCCTTTTTGTGTGAAATTTCTTTTTTCTCATATCGCAATATCTTCTTTTCAGAATCACTTTGAATCTATGCTATCTCAATCTGGATCCTTTTCTGAGCAGGAACAGTTCCTCCCTGTGCACTCTTTCCAGACCTCCCATGATTTCAAAAACTTCTATCAAATCCTCTTTAGCCTTCTCTTCTCCATTGAAAACAGTCCCAGCTCCTGCAGTGTATCTGCGTAATGGAGACTTCTCGTTCCCTGAAACCATTCTCGTAAACGTCTTCTGTGTTCACTTCCTTCCTAAAGTGTGGCACCCAGACCTGCACAGAATACTCCAGTTGAAGTCTAACCAGTGTCCTGTATCAGTTCATCATAACCTCTGTGCTGTAGTATTCTGTATCATAGTTATTCCCAAACAGGTTTCTTAGTACAGTGGATTTTGTTTCTACTTTTGACAGCATCTTCTAGGCAAAAGAATACAGTGAAGACCTACAGATGTTCTTGGACAGAATTTGGGGTCTCTATACTGACTTTGATAAGCGTGTTTTATATGTAAGAAGTGTGTCTTTTCATACCCTCTAAGTGTGAATTCCAAAATGGCAGCAGGCATTTGCAAATTTAAAACAAAGTGTGTTATTTATTCTGACACACATGTCCTGAATTTAAAACTCAACATCTTGCACACTTGTCCCCACACGCATGCTGACATACACGCAAAGATTGGTTATTAACAAAAATTGTACGCTTCGATGAAATTATGGTTAACTCGGTCTCCGGTTTACAATCTCCAGTGTTCATGTGTCAGGCCTGGTTTCTTAAATGGTATTCATGCTTTAAAGATGAAGTGAGCATCTTGGGAAACGAAAGATTCTCAGCGATTTGAGCGGTTTCTTGGAGTCTGATTTCCAGAAGGTTATTTCTCCAACGACCTTGACGTTTGAACAGGTTGTGGAAAGTCCTTTTCTCTATTGGGATCTTCTTACAAGCCATAGCTGTTCAGTATCTTGGCTGCTTGAACTACTTGCAGCTAGTTTGTTGGAACTTTATCTGCAAAGCAGCTTATAACTCATTTGAAAACAAAAGATAATAACTTGCCTTCCTCCTCATATGACATTTACAGCTTTGAAATCCTATTCCAAATAAAGATGATATGTGTGTTGATTACAACATCTTGCGTTGTTATCTTTTTTTTGAGATTCAAACCCATCATTGTACAGTGGAATGATTGAACTAAACAAGTAGTTGTTGGAATAGATCTAATAAAGAGCTTAACAAAGCAATTGTGACTGTAGGGTTTGTGGTTCTGTTCCTTGAAGGTTAATCAGTATTCATTCTCTTCCGCCTGCCAGAAATTACATTTCAATGTGATCTTTTGTCCAGAATGAAATAGATATGCATGCTGGAAATTCTGTAATCCTTCTGTGTTGGTTCATCCTCAAACAAAGAGAGCTATGAAACCCTGGTTAGCTCTGAGTGTCTGTTTAATTATTTTTTTGTTTAAGGTTTCGGATTGCCTATAGTTCAAATGCCAGAGGTCACACGATTTTCGGTAACCTTTTAAGTAGTGTGTCCAGTTTTTGTCATATCAACTGAAAATTCATAATGAACTGCAACATTGATTAGCTCAGTTGGCTGGAAGGCTAGTTTACAATGCAAAATAGACCAATAGTGTGGTTTCAATTCCCACACTGGCTGAAGCTACCATTAAGGACTCAGCTTCTCAACCTCTCTCCTTGCCTGAGGTGTGGTGACCCTCTGCTTAAACCATTGCCAGTTGTTTCTTTCCACTGAGATAAGGGTCTTATGGTCCACGAAGGCTGTGGCAGCTATACGTTTACTTTTTACTGGGACACCACACCTTACAACATCTGAATTTCCTGTTAAAGCTGGAAAGTTATAAAGTTTGTCATTAGAATCTGAATGTTTATCAGTTCTAGTAAAAATTTATTTTACTTTTGCAGCATATAACTTTGAATATAACAGTAACCCTGGCTGGTTTAATTGTACACAGAATAAAAAAAACACAACTCTGGTTCTGGCAGAATTTACACAGCTTTCTGATGCAGTTTCAGGAGTGTATAGGTTTGAGGTCTGTTGAGCAGCAGGTTACTTTTGTTTCCTTATGAAATTATTTTCCACTTAAATCAGAAATTAAGCTCTTTATTCTGAAGTTGGAACAATGTGGAAAAGGTTTGTGTCAATTACTAAAATCAGAACTATACTGATGTGATAATTCCCAGTTTTATAGGAAGATTTCCAATTGATTTTTACCACATCACCCATATATTTGTCTGTAAAGTCCCCCATGGTGTCAACACTTGGTTAATGGTCATGTTCAATTCTCTCAATTTTTATTTGTTATAACTGATTACATTTATACATCATGCAGACAATAGAGGAATCTTTGTCTCCATTAAATATCATAAGATTGTTATTGATCTGTCACCTTTTGTTGAAGGAAAGTGTTCTAGTTTTATCCATTATTACGTGCTGTAATAATCATGTTTTATCTTCTTTCCCCGTTTAGGTAGTTGGAATATTTGCTGGCTTTGGCCTTTTGCTGTTAGTAGCATCACCTTTCCTCCTGCTGGCCACACCATTTGTCCTCTGCTGCAAGTGCAAATGTAACAAAGGGGATGATGATCCTTTACCTACATAGACCTGATGCTCAGAAACAGGGCAAAGATATTTAATGAACGTTTTTTCTGTTTTAACTGCAGTTTTAAACTGTCTTATTTTAGCCCATCATATATCCCAGTGCCAGAATTTGCTTTCCTGATTTCCACCATTTAAATCACACTCCAGAGTCTGAGAGTGCAGTGAATCAAAACACAAAAGTTTGGAAGAGATGAAATCCGGTTTCCCAGACAACAATTTATTCATAGTAAATGAACAGAAATATAGTACTCTGCACGAAGGCTCTGGAATATATTTGGTAAGCTTAGAAAAGTTCTCATTTAAATGGTTTCAAAAAAGCAATATCCATAACAATGTGCTGCTGTTCACTTAAATACAAAGCATATAAGGTTACATGAAGAAAGAAAATGTGCAATGTTGTATTAAACAGAAAATGCACAACAGATGCTTCAGATTTTGTAAAGACAAAAGACACACTAATATTTTAGACCATCCTGTCAGAATAGATGGTTGTAACAGGTCATGTTATAATAGGTTATCTATTTATCAAAATAAGTTCATTCTTTTATTGCAAAAAGTACGCATATTGCTGACTGTAAAAGACCACTAGTCAATTTTACTAAAGAAAACCCTTCATAAGACATTTTGTTGATTTCATGAGGCATTTAAATATTTCATACTTATTAGGTCATTTACAGATGCCTTTTATCTGAATCCGTTTCTAGTATCTCCATCTTTTCATGTTTTTATTTTTAAGTTTCTAAATGTGTAAAGGCGCACCGACTCTTAACAGTTACCTGCAATAAAAGGCTGAAGTTTCCTGGTACAATAGAGATATGTTTCATGGCAAACGTCATGGAAAATGGGGGGAAGAACATGTCAGATCATCTTCCCAAGGCCTTCCTGCCATTGGAGGGATTTTGCAGGAGGGAGATGGGAATAAGATGGGTAGCTCAGTCATTGGGGCAGGCAGCCAATTAAGGCCATAATTTGAAGCCATTTTCTCAAGATGTGTGTAGGATTTAGCATCTCTGCTGCCAACATGATATGTATCATAACGTACAGTCTCAGTTGATATTGTAGATGTCGGAGATGTACTTTCAGCATAAAGGGTAGCATCTGTAACTTTTGTTACATTTGCTCTCACTCCAAATCATTGCCTTAATGGTTTCATCCAATGATTTTCAGCCTGCCTCTTTCCTGATCCAGTTCTTGTAATTTTCCAATTTGTCTGTGGGCACGAGATGGAGGAGTGACCGGTAGGTGGGAGAAGAAAATAAAGGGAAGGGGAGTGACAAGGACAAGATTCCCAATGGCTCACCATCAGTTTTGAACGAACCAAATCTTCTGACATAGAAGAATTGACAATAAGTATGTTACAAAATAAAAATCAAATTGAAGAGCAAAATCAAACCACTGAGCTCGGTGTTATTATCAACCAATTATTCGCTGTCAACTTCTCTCTATCCTAACATCACATTGTGATGTGTATATGTTGTCTGTCTCTACATTGCAAGCCATTTTATTATAATGGCCAAAACTAATCTCTGTAATGATTTGTGTAGAGCTATCAATTACAATCACCAGCAAGAAAGAAGTCAAAGCCCTTTGTTTTTATTAGGTACCTGAAGTGCAGTGGGCTACTGGAACATGTGTATGTGCCTTTTTTCTCGATCCAGTTAAATCTTAGTTTTATTTGTTATCAAGCAGTTAATTTGTGTGGAAATGTCAATTAAGCACAGCACCAGGTAACGATGAGCTGCATATATGATGGAGGAGGTGAGGGAGAGTAGCAAAATAGAGTTGAAATATGAAATGGAATGAATATTCAAAAGTCTTCAAGGACATCTGGCTTTAAAGCTTGTCTTCACCTCCTGTCAAAACAATTCTGCGAAAGAATTTCTTATTTAGTAATGTTCAACTTATCATCCAGAAGTGTGCACAAAGCAAGATAACATTGTGAAGACCATTTGTTACTTTTTCATTTGCCTGCGCCTTATTTTTTTTGGGGAGGTTCAGTATCACTGACTTCTCCAGCAGGTGAGCCTTGACTCCATATGTCACAAAGATTGCCTTCACTTGATCAGAGAGTCCGATCAATTTATTACATTCCCAGGGATTGAATGGATTTTCACTTTGTTCCAGTTTATTTATCCCATGATGCAGCAATGCTACACTGGACCATGACTTGGCCTTTGATGCCAAATGGTAAAAGACTGTTAAGAATTATAGTGACATAAAGTACATATTTCAGTCGTTACTTTTGCAAGCAGAATACAGGTAATGATCAAGCCTGTTGTGTTATATTACGTATTTGTATTCTTATATCTTTTTCTGACTCTGCCCTCTACAGAAACTACCTAGAGTGATTAATTCTATAAAGGGGCCAAATATTACATGTCACCGCCAAGTGTGAAATAAAGAGGGTGCTGCCCCGCTGCACCCCAGCCTTGCACTTTTCCATCAGGCTGTGAGCTCACCCTCATACTGTGGAGGGGTGGGCACGTGACAAAATCAGCAAACCAGCCCCTGTAAGTAAATAAATGAGAGTTAAGTTCATTTGACCCCAATATTACCGTGATTACCCTGCCCAAATGGTCATGGGGCTAGTTGGCAGGAAGGTGGGAGCGAGTAATCCATTTTTCTTTCAAGAAGTTTGTCAAATGCCAAGAAGGAAGGATGTATATATCAAGGGCACCACACTCCTTCCCCAACCACCACAGAAGATAGTGCCACTTCTTTCCTCCCACATGGACTTTAATATCCAATCTTCCAAGGTGGCCAAACTCTCCCCACTGAATCCCCCGAATTTACCTGGGTAGGGGTTACATTGCACTGCCTTGTTGGGACAGGTTGCAGTCTTGGCAGCTTCTGCCGCTATCAGAGCTGCCACTCCGATTGAGAGGGTGGGAGTTTCTCTTCCCGAGGAACAGTTCTGCAGTAATTTAGCCCACCCACAGTGTGATGTGGCTGTGAGGTTCGCTTGTTATCTGCTTCTCAGTTGGCTGCCCAGGGTGGACCATCTACTTCCACTGTAAATCCTTTACCAAGACTTGGTGTAAACCTCCTAATTTAAACCAACCAAGTTAAGAAAGACCGTTTTTAAATTTGCGAATTAAATCTAACAAGGTTGAACCAGTCTTGAAGGTGTTTGTATTTGTATAGAGGGATCTTATTTCCTTCCACAGATTCCTGACAAACATTGTAAAATCTTTAAAAAAGACAATGCCTAATTTTTAATCCCTCTCTCTCTGTGTACCAAGGTAGAATTGCAGAAATCAATATCTTGCAAATCAGATTTTTTAAAATAGTTTGTTTGGCCTGAAAGTACTAATGGCACTATAACCCCCATTGTTACTCAATATTCTTTATGAACCATCTTTACACAATAAGTGTGATTACCATTGCACAACATGATTAAATATTGCAATAATAAGTTGCAACACTTAATTGGAGAAGCAAAAAGGTAATTTACTAAAGGAACAGCATTGTGTAAAGCTAAAGATCACAAAAGTTAGGGAGAAATTCAGCTTGTGCCAGTTCCTAACATGGAATGGGTGGTGTTATCCAAACGCATGCCTCCATTTTTAAGAAATTGGAAAGCAATGGAAACCTGATGGAGACCTTTAGTCTAGCCGTGGTTAGATCATTGACGATGTGGAACAGCTATATGAACCATGCATGGGGCCTTTAACCCATGAATTTGATTACCATACTTTCGATGGGGTCCAATGTTGAGAACTCAATTTCCATAATCAGAGCCACAATTACTGTTCAGGTGAATGCAGTGCACAACAGAGTATTCCACAGGACTCACCAGTGTCCCATACAACCTCAACATGGCGTCCCAGCTCCTACACTTGAAGGTTCAAGCGATGAAGGAAAGCGTGCTAAGCACCTTCTTAAACACCCTGTCTACCTGTGACAAAACTTTCAAAGAATTATGTACCGCCAGGTGTCTCTGTTCTACAACACTATCCAGGGCCCTACCATTAATTGTGTAAGTCCTGTCCTTGTTTGTATTACTGAAATGCCGTACCTCACATTTGTCCAAATTAAATTCCAGTTGCCCTGTTATAGGAAGGCTATTATTAAACTGGAGAGGATTCAAGAAAGATGGATGTTGCTGGGAATGGAGAGTTTGAGATACAAAAATAGACTGGATAGGCTGGGATCTTTTTCACTGAAGCATAGGAAGTTGAGGGGTGACCTCATTAGGTTCATAACATCATGAGGGCATAGGTAAGGTGAATGATAAAGGGTCTTTTCTCTAGTGTGGAGTTCAAAACTGGGGAGCGTATTTTTAAGGCGGGAGGTCAAGGATTTAAAAAGCTGCAACCTTATTACACAGGGAGTGGTTCGTGTGTGGAATGAACTGCCAGAGCAAGTGGTAGATGCAGGAACAGTTACAATGTTTAAAAGACATTTGGATAAGTTGATGAATAGGAAAGGTTTGGAGGGAAATGGGCCAAGCGTAGGCAGATGGGACTAGTTTATGTTGGGAACATGATTGGAGTGGACTGGTTTGACCAAAGGGTCTGTTTTCATGATGTATGTCTCTATAACTGGAAAGCACTGGGTTCCAGTTTGGCAACTGCCACACTTCCCATAAAGTTCACAACTGAAGATCCGTCCTTCCTGGTTTTATGCCCAAATAAGAGACAAGACTTGTTCAATTTCACCCTTTAGAGTTATCAACTCACCCCCCCATCCTAAAAAATGCACCCTCCCAATCCCGCTGAATTTTATAATTGCATGCCCATAAAGCTTTGGAGCCGCATAAAATTTCAATTCAGATTCCCATAAATTTGTATCAATTGGAAGTTGCTGAAACTTAACAAATCTTAGCTAGGTCATCTGCCAGGAAGGAAACCTACTAAGCACAGCACTTTACTAAATGTCAGATCATAAAACTCAAAACACAAAAAAAAATTGGAGAGAAAGTGTGTACAAATGGCTGCTAGGAAAAACTATCCTTTTTTTTGCAAACAAAAAAAAATTCAGAAAGCCAACTTTAAGTAAATGTCTTCAGATTGATACAGTTGGAAATCACAGTGAAATGTTTGAATTACTGCCTGTCAAAATATTGTCAGTCTGAAAATCCGCAATTGTAAGGGTGGGCATGAAGAAAGTGGGCTTCAGAAATTTCCCAGACCTCACTTTTCCATTCTGTCATCACTTCAAAATCAGTGTGATGGTCTTGATTCGTCGCCATTCTGCATTGGAGAAAATAATCCCCTTTATCTGTTACATGAATGAAGAAAATATTACTCTAGAGTTGCTGTTCTGTGCCACATAAACTGGATGATTCATTCCATCTACCCTGATATGTTTCCCTGACTACTATAATTTTTAAAGCCTTTAGAATTTGAGAGAATTCTCACCCAAAACAGGAACCTATTGGAAATTCTTCTAATCAGCCTGTTCAGTGATGTTATTATATACCTCTGGAGCAGGTGGGACTCCAGGCTCAGAGATAGGGACCACTGTAGCTACCACTGTGCCATGGGAACCCTAGGAACCTATTGGAGGATCTTGAGCAGGATCTCAAAAACCTGTGTGCATTTACTCTTGAAAAGCCCTATCTTGAAAGGGACACATGATCTCGGAAATTGTGTCCCTCTTTCTGACATACAATTTGCAGAACAGAAGCAGGCCATTTAGTTCAACTGGTCTACTTCATCTAAGCTTATCAGCAATACTATGTGTCCCTTTCTCTCTTTCCAAGTACTTAATTATGCCATCACCTCAAAAATAAGTTCCTGGCATCATTGATATTCTTTTGGTCCTTATGCTAAATGTATTTTCTGTACACATAGGTAATAAACAATATTGTTTTGTCATGGAAATTTTTTTTTGTTTACAATCTAATATAAATATTGCTTTAGGTAAAATATCTCTAAATACGAAGGTTGTCTGTGACAAATCACATCACTTAGCCTCAGTGCTTTTTTAAAACATTGACGTAACTTAACGTTGTTGAAACTGCCCATTATTCATTTCTTTAAGTTCTGTATAATCAGCGTAGCAGAATAGTAATGCTCGTTTTGAGAATATTTAATGGTTTCTTTGTGGCCTGTCGTTTAGTACTGAGATGTTGCAAAACAATGTTTATTTTTTGTGTGTGTCTTACTGTCTTTTTATATTAACGATAAGGAATGTATAAACAATTTCAGCTTCTTTTTCCTCCTTTCCGAAATATTTCCACGTGACTTAATCACGGTCTCTCTTTCTGATTTTGTAATCTAAGTATGTAATCTATGAGGGTCAGTTCTTAATGCCTTAAAATGTTTCTGTGAACACCGTTAATGTTAGCACAGTCTGTAGATAAAACCTAGAATGCTAATGCAGAGTATTTGCCTAATCTCATACGTTTGAAGATCTTGTGATCTCCATTCTATGTATTGCTAAGCATGGAAGAAACTTGTATGTAAATAACTGAATGTATTCCTGCATTTAAAAAATATATAATTGGTATCTCATTTTCTAAAATAAAAGAATGCAAGTACTCATTATACCTTTGTGCTGCTAAAATTGAATTCAATGATATACCTTTGCCTTGTGAATTTAACCAAGTATTTCGGGAGGGGTTTTCACTTCATAGAAACAGTGCTACACTCAGTTCTGAAACAAGGCCTTTGTCATATTTCACTTACATTTAGCTGCAGCTGAACGAATAATGAACTTCTATTTCAGTGAATCTCTAGACCTCATAATCATACCAAAGCTGCATACTTTGTAGTGCTTTTGATATTTTGCAGTAAAGTAAGTGCAATCTTCAATGTTGGTAAGTTTTCTTTATTGATTTGCGGGATATGGGCATCACTGGATGGTCAAGCATTTATTGTCCATCTCTAATTGCCCTTGAGAAGGTGGTGGTAAGCTGCTTTCTTGAATTGTTGCAGATAGATAGACCCACATTACCATAAGGGAGGGAACTCCAGAATTTTGACCAAGCAACGGTATAGGAACGACAATATATTTCCAAGTCAAGCTGGTGAGTGGCTTGAAGGGTAACTTACAGATGGCAGTGTTCCCATTTGCTGCCCTCCTAATTCTAACTGGTAATGATTGTGGGTTTGGAAGGTGTGTTCCAACGAACCTTGGTGAATTTTTACGGAGCACCTTGTAGATGGTACACACTGCCACTACAGATTATCGGTGATGGATGGACTGAATGTTTCTGGATGTGTGCCAAGGGTTACTTTATCCTGAATGGCTTTGAGCTTCTTGAGTTGGAGCTGCTCTCACACGGGCAAGTGGGGAGTGTTCCATCACACTCCTGACTTGTGCCTTGTAGCTGTGGGACAGGCTTTGGGGAATCAGGACGTGAGTTAATCACTACAGGATTCCTACCCTCTGACCTGCTTTTGTAGCCATTGTATTTGTATGGCTAGTCCAGTTCAGTTTCTGGTCAATGGTAGCCCCGAGGATATTGTTAGTGATGGTGATGCTATTGAATGTTAAGGGGCAATGGTTGGATGAAAACTTCCAAAAAGAACTTGGGACAAAATGTATGCTATTCAAAGACAGCTAACATTTGAGCCTTTGATAAAACCACGAAGATGAAAATATTGTTCTGAAACAATAATTACAATCTGTGGACAGTGCTGACTTTTTTGTGTTGGTCTATTTTACATTTCCCTGTAGCGTTTGATTAGCACAATTGATAAAACAATGGAGATTCTGGAAATACAATCTAGAAACAGAAAAATTGTAGAAATATTCAGTAACATGAGGCAAAGTTGTGGAAAAGAAAAATTTGGACTCCGTAATGTTATACCTACAGACCCAGTTTTTGATCAGGATATGGGCAAGGCTGGTAGATATATGGAATGCTGGATGACTAGAGAAATTGAGGTTTTGATCAAGAAAAAGAAGGAAGCATATGTCCGGTATAGACAGCAGGGATTGAGTGAATCCCTAGAAGACTATGAAGGCAGTAAAGTAAAGAGGGAATTCGGGAAGACAAAAAGGGGACATGAGATAGCTTTGGCAAGTAGGACAATCCAAATACATTAAGGACAAGAGGGTAACTAAGGAGAGTATAGGGTCCCTTAGGGTGGCACAGTGACTCAGTGGTTAGCACTGCTGCCTCACAGCTCCAGGGACCTGGTTTTGATCCCACCCTCAGGCAAATGTCTGAGTGGAGTTTGCACATTCTCCCCGTGTCTGCGTGGTTTCCTCTGGGTGCTCTGGTTTCTTCCCACAGTCCAAAGATGTGCACGCTAGGTGGATCGGCCATGCTAAACTGCCCATAGTGTTCAGGGATGTGTAGATTAGATGGGTTATAGGGGATGGGTCTGGGTGGGATGCTGTGTGTGTCGGTGTGGACTTATTGGACTGAAGGGCCTGTTTCCACACCGTAGGGATTCTATGAAAGATCAGCAAGGCTGCCTATATTTGGAACCGCAGGAAATCGGGGAAGATACCAAACAGGTATCATGCATCAGTGTTTACTGTGGAAAAGGATATGGAAGCCAGAGGACTTGGAGAAAAGTTGCAATATCTTGAAAAATAGCCATATTACAGAGGTGAAGGTGCTGTACGTTTGAAAACGCATGAAAGTGGATAAATCCCCAGGACCTGATCAGGAGTACCCAGGAACTTTGTGGGAAGCTAGGGAAGTGACTGCTGGAACCTTGCTGAGATAGCCACAGGTGAGATGCCAGAAGACTGGAAGTTGGCTAATGTAGTGCCACTATTTAAGAAAGGTGGTAAGGGAAAGTCAGGGAACTATAGACTGGTGAGCCTGACATCGGTGGTGGGCAAATTGTTGGAGGGGATCCAGAGGGATAGGATTTACATGTATTTAGAAAGGAAAGGACTGATTAAAGATAGTCAAAATGGCTTTGTCTATGGGAAATCGTGTCTCACGAAGTTAATTGAGTTTTTTGAAAAAGTAATGAAGAGGATTGATGAGGGCAGTGTGTTCGATGTGATCTATATGGATTTCAGTAAGGCATTCAACAAGGTTCCGCATGGTAGACTGGCTGGCAAGGTTAGATCACATGGAATACAGGAAGAACTAGCTATTTGGATGCAGAAGTGGCTCAAAGATAGAAGACAGAGGTGGGTGGTGGAGCATTGCTTTTCAGACAGGAGGCCCGTGACCAGCAGTATGCCACAAAGATTGGGGCTGGGTCCATTGCTTTTTGTCATTTATAAAAATGATTTGGATGTGAACAAAGGATGTATGGTTAGTAAGTTTGCAGATGACAGCAAAATTGGAGATATAGTGGACAGTGAAGAAGGTTACCTCAGAGTACAACAGGACCTTGATCAGATGGGCCAATGGGCAGAAGAGTGGCAGGTAGAGTTTAATTTAGATAAATATGAGGTGCTGCATTTTGAAAAGGCAAATCATGGCTGGACTTATACACTTAGTAGTAATGTCCTGGGGAGTGTTACTGAACAAAGAGACTGACCTTGGAGTGCAGGTTCATAGTTCCTTGAAAGTAGAGTCACAGGTTGACAGAGTAGTGAAGAAGGCATTTGGTTTGCTTGGCTTTACTGTTCAGTGCATTGAGTATAGGAGTTGGGAGGTCATGTTGAGGCCGTACATGGTCTCCCTGCTGTAGGAAGGATGTTGTGAAATTTTAAAGGGTTCAGAAAAGATTTACAAAGCTGTTGCTGGGGTTGGAGAGTTTGAGCTATAGGGAGAGGCTGAATAGGCTGGAGCTATTTTCTCCAGAGTGTCGGAGGCTGAGGGGTGACCTTATAAAAGTTAATTAAATCAGGAGGGGCATAGATAGGCTAAATAGCCAAGGTCTTTTCCCCAGGGTAGGGGAGTCCAAAATGAGACGGTATAGGTTTAATGAGAGAGGGGAAAGATTTAAAAAGGACCGAAGGGGCAACTTCTTCATGCAGAGGGTGGTGCGTTTATGGAATGAGCTGCCAGAGGAAGTGATGGAGGCTGGTACAGTTACAACATTTAAAAGACCTCTGGATGGGTATATGAATAGGAAGGGTTTACAGGGATAGATGTCAAATGGGACTAGATTAATTTAGGATATCTGGTCAGCATAGACGAGTCGGACCAAAGGGTCTGTTTCCGAACTGTACAGCTCTATGACTGTATGAGTACTCTCTTTGATGGGATTAAAATGATAATTTGGAAAGGTACATTCAGTCCTTTTGGCTTTTTTTTTTCAGTTAAACCATTCATGTATTAGCATTTTTGCTTCTTCAAAGAATTGCTACAAATTTAATGGAGAAATAGTTTTCAGCAGAAATGCATCAAGCACAGTCACATTTTGCCCACTCCTTCTACACTCGTCTGAATGTCCCATTGTGGTTTCACGCTCCTCCCAAAGTTGCATTTCACCTTGTTTCATTCTCTAGCCCATTGTTTTTAATTCTTATGACATTGAGAGCTTTGAATGTGTGTGCCATATGCTGTGCAATAACGTGTTTAAGGAGTAATGTAAAACCACACAATATCTGGGTAGCTTGTTTGTATAAACTAGAAATTAGAAGAGCTTAATAAAGTACCAATCGATAGCACCTGTTTTCTATTGTTAAATGCTAAAAATAGCCCTTTAAGTTAAACATGCAAATTAATAGAAGATAGTTTTAAGGTCAGTAACAATTGAAAGATCTTGAGGCAAAGAGCAAAAAAAAGTTTCCAGACATTTTAAAATTAAAACAAGAAAGTATTAATTAGAATAAAAAGGCACAGATTGGGCTGAACTGTCTAGGCTGCAAGGTTAGGATTCACATAGCAGTGTAGTTGGGCACCTCTGCTTTTGCCAACATGTTGGCCTTTAAATAGTTTAAAACTATTAGAATTATTAAACATTGGAAAGAAAAGAGATGAGGGTAAACAAAGGCTTTTTTTGTCATAAAGTCTGAAATTGAAATTCCATTGTATTTTTATTTAACCTATTTTTTACTAATCAACTGTTCAGACATATTATTACACCTCTCCAGAGCTGGTGGGACCTGAACCCAAGCCTCCTGCTCCAGGGGACAGGGACACTACCACTGCACCACAACTGGGCCCTAAATATAGAACACTTACTGAATTTATGTGTCATCCTTATGCAGGGGCCATGCTCATTTTCTCTGAATCGTTCTAATTTTAGTATATGTACGTTAACCAGTTTCACATGAATCAGCTAATTCCCAATTTAAAATAGCAACCAGATGGACTTTGAATACCTAATATGCTTGAACTCAATATAGATTGTGTTACTTGAAAGTTGGAAGTTTTTCAAAAAAAGCATCAATAAAATTCTAGTTATTCTATAAAATAGGGTAGCAATTTGAATTTAATAAAAAACAAGTACTTCTCTTTTTCACTGTATAATTAAAGGGTTTCTTTGGGAGCTGTGCTGATCGTCTAGCTTTATCTTCTGCCGCCTTGACCTAAGATTTCTTCATTACAATTGCTCAGTGAAATGCATGACTGATATTGATAGGTCATTGCACTGAATATGGTCTTACATGAGAAATGTGCTTGTGATGTCTAGCTTCAAACTGGAGGTCCCTGAGGGCTTGCTCCTCTCTACCC